CGAGAAAAATTATTAGTAGGTAATTAATTTACTTGCAAACTTGAAAAAGATTACAGATTTACTGGCAATGAATGTGCATTAATAACAGAGAAGGAAATATATAATTATGAACAATTTGCGACTGCTGTAAAAAAGTTGCGGAATTGTATTTAAATATGATTTCTTGTTAAAAATTATATTATTCTCTGGTATTACGCGGAAGAGATAAGAACGGTAAGATAACGCTCTGAGAATAAATGACTCGTCTCGATTCTTGGTAACTTCGTGACGATTTCATTAAGTATTCGCAAGAGAATCTGAGGTTACCCTCTTCCCATTATTAAGTGGAGCACACCTTGAAGCTACTGAAGAGCATAGTCAAAGCTCTTCACTTACAAAATCTTTTTTCCAAGATTACATAAGATAGTATTGTCATCTGATTTAAATTACAAATTTTAGCACAAGCGAAATAAGGCTCCTGTTTACGATCGTATACTCTAATCTCGCCTCACGACCGTTTTATGTGAATTATTCAAAATGGAGTTTTATATCGCGAAATGCAAACAGTTGCAAAGTCCCATTTTAAACAAAAGTCCAGCGAGCCTACGTTTAGCTGAGAAACGAAACGGTTAGGGGAAAGTCCTTTATTATGAGATAGCAGGTAATCGCAACGATTACACGATCTAACAATTAATTTTCCACTAAACAGATTTCACCCCAAGGGCAATAAATTCATGGTGGAACCAACAGATGATGCCTATTAATTTAGCAGAAACTCCGCTATTAGGAGTCTATTTCATAATAGGGGACTTTCCTCTACTTATATCTGACGTAAAACTTATTGTATATACTTAAATGTTACCACAAATTCTAAATTATTACCCTTTCAATGTTTCTTAATTGTAAATGACAACACAAGGTGCTGATTATCTTATACATTGGTTAAAATAAATGCACGTTTATAATCAATTTGGTTAAAACTCGAAGAGTGCATCAGTGATATATATCAGCGATATGTCAGCCGTACATGAAGAAGAAATATTTTATTTCTTTTAAATAATACATACATGCACGCTTTGTGTATCAGATATGAAACGGAACGATGTGGGAGATAATGACGCATTATATACATATATAGTGTAATGTAACCGTAAAGAATCTTAAATTATAATCTTACGGTGCCCTTGCTCTCGTAATAATATTCACATTGTCACGCGAAAAACTGCGGAGTGAACAATGAGTCCATAAAGAATTTTAATAACAGAAAGGAGAAATTTCCCTCGCCCTTATTACTTTTACGAATGACGCAGGCTTTGGTTTATTTCGAGATTACATAAAAATGATGCGATGCGAACTATGCGGCGATGGTAAAAAAGCTTGAGCCTCGAGACTTCCGTAGGAGTGTTCCTTTTATTGTTAGATCTTTCTCGTTATCACACAAGGCACGCACTCGAAGTAGAATATTCTATTTTGTAGGATGTAATGTGGCCGGAGAGCGCACCATCCCTTCCTGCAAATATTTTCTCCAAGCTCGTGAGCTCGTTCGTGTACGCCTGATTAAATAAAGAAAACGGATACGGCGCGTATTATCGGGAAACTAAGTCCACGGCATAATAGAATTTTCCCTTTGTCCTGATGAAGATAAAGGCCAGTTCTCTGCTTAATGTACAGTTTATTGAATTAATTTGTCCCACCTCAACGTTATTACATGTATATCTATTTATCTAATTATTACTTTCACTAACAATAAGACAAATTTCTCTATCTGGTGCTCTAAGTGTAAGACTAATCACACTTTTGCACATTAATAAGATATTAATAAATCGAACAAGGAATAGGCTGGCATTTTTCGTTGTTGCTACGTCGATTAAAAAATTCGTTTCAATGGGGGGACCACCGTTCAGCTTTTTCTGCTATAAGCTCTTATTTGCAGTATTAAATGAGTGGAAAGCCAGCCATCACCAAGAATCTTTAAGAAATTTAAAACTCCTGAATAACTCTAAGCCAGAGGAGTAATCAAGCCGCAGGTTAAAGGGGCACATGATGAAAAAGAATTTAATTAAGCTATCCCTTGGATCAGTCTTACGTGACTTCATATATAGTTATCGTTTTTTTTCACCATTGCGATCAGAAGAAAATCTTTAATGAAGAAAAATTTATCTCGGCGACAGTAGGACAACAGGTTTTATCAATTAAAAGAAAATATTTTGATACCGATCGACAAGTTCGCCGTTAATAGAAGCGCTCATTTTAAAGATGTCAGTTATATAATGTTTTATTGGGAGAAAATTTGTGCCAAACTTGAAAAACAGGCATTATATTAATATTTCATCAGATAGTTTAAAAATTGTAGTTTTCTTATAAAATATTATTATGTAAAAATATTCTGCTTACGTAATATTACATAAAAATGACTCTTAAATATTAAAAAGCATGCATATCGATTCCTCTAAAAATTTGAATATTGACATTTGCAAATTTCTCTCACAAGAAACTTTTAATTTAATGTAACATCACTCACCTTTCACGTTTTCGATATAGAACCAATGGAAAAAATGACATAAAAGAAATTACGTTTCTGTATTATTTTTAACGTTTAAGTGAAAATGCTGCTTAAATGACTGGACAAGTAACACCGTTGGCCTCACTCGTATTATTTTGCAAAACGAGTATCGCGTGTAGCTTGCTTAAATAATCACTAAAGTTATGACAGGGCTGTTGATTTTTACAACAAGAGAAAAGTCGGTTCTCTCGGGAAAAAGTTGCAAAAATAAGTATCGCGTCAATTCGCGTCCGAGTGCATGTAAAAAGTTGGCGTTTGTTCTTGTTAGTTAACGCAAATGGAACGGAATCGAACGGGGTGTAAGACAAGCGAGGTAGGACGTCAAAGGCCTGGGGTAGACTCGTCCATAATTAGCTCCCGCTGGTCTATTCGAGTCTGCTTTAACGCAACGCTACTGAGATTTAATCGTACGTCGTAAATTGCATTGAATCCAAGTAGTACCAGAATTCATATTTAAGAAATATCTTAAGTAATTTTATCGTAAATAACGAGTAATACAACCGGAGAATATAAGTGGTAAGGAGAGAACGCAAACTGGAGAATACTTCTCTTTTCTCCAAAGATTTCGGTGATCGCGTTATCTGGCCATTTTGCGTAACTAATAATTTAATGTATTTACTAATATTATCAATTTATATTTTAGTATTAATTTGCACGCATAAACGCATTCAAGATTTTTCTTAACTTTTCTTATAAATTTTTATGTCAAGATATTATTATAGCAAATTTAAGTAAATGTCGATAAATAAAAAAATTTTTGTGCAATAGGACAATCGGATATCTGATCGGTTTGGTTAATTTAACTTCTGCATAAAATGCTAAATCCTTCTTGTCAGAATGTTTATTGTAAGTTTAAATCAGTTTGGTTAAAGCTATTTTTACATTTTCAGCATGCAATTGTGGGCTAACGCGAAAACTCGCCTGTAATCTTTTATATTGAGATTGAATTTTTCGGAAAAATTTCGGCAGAATGCGCCTTAAATTTGGAAGAATATCACTACGAATAACGTTTCAAGAGAGTAACGTTTGCCTTCGCGGTAATTTATTTTACTGCGCGAGATGTCAAGATATACTGCACACTTAAATGCTACTCTGTAGTTACGACGGCAGTTTGTTTTTATTGCGGCCGTTTATTATCAACATATTTTCTAAACGTATACAGCAAAATTCCGTCACGACGATTGATCATTGATTGCACGATAATTAATAAACTTATATCGATATATTATACCAATGTTTATACGAGTAATTTGATAGTAACAAAATTTTTAAGCAGATGCAAGTTTGGCTCTGCTAAGGTTCACCTCGAATTTGTTGCAGTTTACGAAGTTATTTATTTGTAATTAAAATTGCATTATCATTAGTACTTTTTGTATCTTGCAGTTCCTTGCTTACTATTTTACTTAATTATTTTCAATTCACGCTTTCTCACTTATACTACAATTTTATGCTATGCAACTTACGCCGCTGAATTAGGACGGATTTTGAAATTAGAATCACTATTTTTATTAATAGAGGATTCTAATACGAGACAGTAGGTTTTCAACGTCCAAATTCACCCACAAATCTTTTTTCGCAACGTTTACATGATCTAACAATGAATTTTCCACTAAACAGATTTCACTCCAAGGGCAATAAATTCATGGTGGAACCAGCAAAAAAGATGATGCCAATTACTTTAGCAGAAACTCCGCTATCCCATATTAGGAGCCTATCTTATAATAGGGTACTTTCCTCTAGTAATTTTTAAGTAGAAGTTAATGAGCGCGAAATAGGATTAATTGCGATATATAAATTAGAAAAGAGTAGGTAGCCATTGCTTGCCCTCGTGACCGAAAGAGCAACATTAGGGGCAACTGAATTATCCCTAAATTATTGCAGGGTAGGAATAAACTGACGGGTTTACTTCGGGGACATCAGTGCTCTGGTATTAGGTTCTTGCTCACGTGTTCTCCAATATTGTTTTGTCTCCTGAGTAAAGAAAGATAGACGTCCTACACAAGTCTACGTTCTCAATCACGAAAATTGTATAACATAATAGTATTAAACAAACGGCTATTATACGAGTGTGATAAAACAAATTTCGTGATAAAGGACTTCTGTATATAGAAAGTGGGAATAAAAGTAATAGAAAGTATAAAACAACGGGGAGGAGAATAAAATAATTTGCTTGAAAGATAGTAAATGTAACGTCGATATCGACTGCTTCTGCTTTACATATTTTTATGTAAATGAGTCGTAGCAAAATACTTATAGTTTCAATTTTAATTAAGCGTATGACTTGTAAATATATGCAATTTCACAATTCTCTAAGCAAAGCGACAAAACTCAAACGTTTAATTTCAGAATTCGAAGGGATCGATTTAATTGTCCTCGAATGTTTACCGTGTCGAGTCCACCGATTACATCGGCTCGCTGTATTCCAGTATCAAAAAGTTAATGTGATTGCTCGTTACAGCGCCGACGAGGGCTTCGACGGCACTTACCCGACGAACGTCGTCGTAAAGAACAATGGGACCTGCTTGTACGTGCCGCCCGGTATATTCAAGAGCACTTGCAAGATAGACATTACCTGGTTTCCCTTTGACGATCAGCGCTGCGAGATGAAATTCGGTTCCTGGACGTACGACGGCTTTCAGGTGAGCATAGGGGATAAGGCATTACGGAATTGGGTCAGCAAATCGTCGTCGCTTCCCGATCCATCCTGTCCCGATGTTCGCTTCTTCAGTATAGACACCGAACTTACAAATTTTCCAATCTGTCGGAAGCACGTCGGTACTTCTCGACGGTATAGTCCCAAGACCCGGAAATAATTCAAAGCGGGCGGCGCCGAGTAGTTTGATTAGCGCACGAGAACGAGAGAAAGAGGCAGACGGGCAGAAAGAATGAGGGAAGGGAAGAGAGAGAGAGAGAGAGAGAGAGAGAGAGAAAATTTTCACTGTTTGACACTGTAAGATTCGCTTGCGAGAACGATTCGTGAAATTCCTAAGAACGGAGCTTTGGGTAAAGTACTCCGATCGCGTAATGCTGGCGCATTTTCCACGAGTGCATTCTCCGATGCAAGCCGGGACTGCGCTCGTTTGTCCATGAACAAAATTGAATGATTATTTGAATCGAGCGAGAAAAGTCTGTACAAAATAATTACATAAAAAAGAAATTTATACGTTCTGTTCCCTGCAAAGTATAATTGGATGCCATATATTTGTGCCAATTTTGTTTTAGCTTTGAATATCTTGGTATTCATCGAAAAATTCTACTAAGAGAAAGTCTTCGTAAAATTAAATAAGATTTTCTTTGTTGTTTACTTTCTGATTTTTATCTCCTCTAACATTCACGGTTTAAAACCATTTCTGCAATGAGAAAAATTTCCATCGGATAAACTTATTAAATAGTGTTTCCGATGGTTAATTTTTCCGATTACGCTTTCCGATTAAATTAAGGATACATCCGATGAAATTTATCCGATAAAATACAGTTACCGATAAAATTTTATTGAAAAACCGATCATATGTTTCATCGGATATACAATTTTATTGGATATATCCGTTTGTTATTATGTAATTGATTTATCCGATTATATTCAATCGGACATTTTTCTCAGTGTGCGTGTTTGAATATCAATGCAAAATCTCTTTGCATGCCGTCAACACTTTTGTTGAAGATATGTCGTTTTATTCTTTAAGTAACGTATCTATCAAACGATTTGTATAAAAATACATTGATTTAATAAACTTCTAAAAATTATAGATATAAGATACATAATTTATATAATAAAATATAAATAATAAAAGCTCTAAGAGGGACATAATGTAATCTCGGAGATTTTTACTTGCTCATAAATTTTATTGTAAGTTTTTACAAGAATTCGCGCGTGACGTTAAAACATTTTCTGTACAATGCTCGAGATACGCGGTTGTACTAGATTCAGCATACGCTCCAGAGATACCGCAACAAGCGAAATGCACTCGGTGTTTGGTCGAAACATCGGCATAGACGGCAAACGCCATTTCAGTGAATCGCAGAAAATTTACGAATCATGGAAAATGCGTTTAAAGGACAATGAACGAGAGAATACGCAATTCGCGATTCTCGCCAGCGCGCGATTTTTCTGTCGCTATTTCATCCGTATACCATTCACTCCGTGTTAGAAAGAAATCTTTTCTGGCGCTCACATGTCTTAAATGAGTATCGAAAGTAGAATATAATATACTAATATAATATAATATACATTTTTTAAGAGAAATTTGACTTAAATTATATACGTATAATAAAAGTTGTAAATTAGTGAAGATACAAATTTACCTAAAATTATTTTACACAAGATAATTTTACACAAGATAAATAACAGAAAAGAATATCGCGACGTGCCGATTCCTTGATGTTCCTTATAAAATAATGTTAACTTGAAGCCAGCAGTAGAAGGCACAGTTTAGAAAATCATGTTTTGTAGATAGCTGCGTAGCCGTGTAATGTTACCCGATTACGGTAACGATAATTTTGCTAACGACAAAAGTTTCATAGTCGCGTGCAATTTGCGCATGCCGATTTATCGCGCAAATGTGCGTCTGTGCCACACGACCAATGTACCTAGCGAGCCCTCAATTGTCGAGCGTGCAACTTCGGAATAATTAAAATTGAGGATGCGAATTACACGGTGCCAGGCAATTCGAGGACGCTCAGGGGTTCATTAAGGAGGACAATAAGCAGAACGAAATGGAAGCGAATGGAGGCAAAAGGAAGGAAGCCAGTGGAATATGCCATGCTTTTCCCAAGCTCGGTTCGATCCGCTGAATACGAACGAGATGCAAAACAGACTTTTCGATTTGATCGTCCATTTTCATTTAACAATTCGCTCCCAGATATTAATTCGTCATAGATTGCGCCCGAACGTCAACGCGAAAAAAGTTTGCATCGATATTCAAACGCGCGGCAGAAATTGCGGCAGGTTTGCGAAAGCTTTATATAGAACTACGTAAATATACATGAACTCACATGAACTATATCAACAAGACTATATAAAGTCAATAAATCAACAGAGCATTTGGTAAAAAATAATATTATTCGCGTTTCATGTTTTGTTATCGTTTTATTATTAATTTGAAGGTACTTGTACTTACGCGATTTGTCATTGTCAATCTTTGTACAAATATACGTAACACTCCACTTTTATAAATTGTTAGAAGGTGTGCTGCGATATTCGATAGTATCACATTTAAGGAGAAATAATAAATTACAGTAAATCTGTTTTTTTTTAATATCAAAAGTGCTCCGAAAAATCTGTAGCGCAAAGAGAGCTCTGGCTTTAATATATGGCACGTTATTCTTTCTAACGAATAAAAAGCGACAACTTGTGTGTCCCTGCCGTACTGTTAGAACAGACTTTTCCGTAGCTCTTGAAACAGCCGTCTTACATGCGGCGCGGTTGCAATAACTTTCCTTTAATCGACCGTCATAAATTGTCGACAGTTGGATCTGCAGCTGCAGGACGAGACCGGAGGTGACATCAGCAGTTTCATCACTAACGGCGAGTGGGATCTGTTGGGTGAGTTTTTACAGTCCTTATCGGGAACCGTTCACGTCGCCACGCCCGGATAGTTTGCCCCGGCGCCAAAAGTGATTCCCGGCCGATTAGCAATTCTAAAGTCTTGCACGGCCACGGGCGGATGATCAATCGTTTCGCAAATCGGAACCGGTATTGATCCTCACTTTGTCCCTGTCAAAATTGCCTGCATCTGGGTCAGGCGGGACGTGGCGGCTCGCTTCGCGCGCGTCCGAAGTTTAGTGTTTTCGCTGGCGAACACATTGGGCGATCGGTAAAGTGTCGCGAGAGAAATTGCTTGATTCGAGAAGCGAATAATAGTTCGTAATAGTCCATGAATAATCGCCTGAGAACTTGTCGAAGGGCGGATTTAAGCTACGATGTTTCACTTCCAGATGTCTATGCCGTATAACTGGCCAACTCTTGTTTACTCTTGCTGTGCAAAATAATTGTTGGATCTCCAGCCACGCGAAAGCTTTCGTTTAAATTTGCAAGATCGTATTTACAATTTAAATATAGGCAGGCAGGATTTTAAATACTGCGAATAATAAAATTTTCCTTTTATTCCGATATTTTATATAAAGTTAGTTTTCGTACATCGAAACCCATCTATACTCGAAACGATAGTCCGCGAGGTAGAGTCGCGTGAACTACATTTTAAAACTCAATTTTAAATTCAGAGAATACGTTTTTCACAATACATAAAATATTTATTAAATTTAAATTTACAATGTTACATATTTTGTCAAGATTGAAATAATGACAAGGTCAATTGATGACATCTTCCATTAATAAGGACTTTGAATTGGCAGAACTAAGAAAAGAGTTGCAATTACATGTACTCTATTATTCGATTACACGCAATACAAATAGGTTGAAAATGAAGTTATGAATGAAATTCATGTAATATCCGTATTGCAGCGCAAAGATAGAAACATCTGGTTTGTACTTTTCCCTCTATAATTGCCAGAGAAACATTACGATTATGATGTACTGTCCAATTACGTGTAATTTGCCGTTGATAAATTTATGGTGGGCAAACGTAAGAAATGGTGTGCCGTCTTTATTGTTCCTCCAACGCAGGAATAAAAGCATTCGCTTCGCGTATCTCGTGTATCTCGAAAAATTGTACGATGCATTACGCGTGGGAATAGCGTAGGTCGGCGTACACGTGCAATGTATGTGCCGCGGTTATGAGACTTGTGGTAGAAATGTATCTTAAGTAACTGCAGCTGCAGCAAAGCGCACCAGTTTGTACCCGGTGGAAAAGCGTAAGATAGAATCTTCCGTTTTTTTTTGCCCTGTTGCACGGGATAATTCAAGGAGGAGCCGAGAGAAATTTTTCCCTCCCAGCAACTTTTTGTTACGTTTCAAAGTGCACTTTGTTTTATTGGCAGCGCATCGATCGCCGGGGCATATTTAAGCGCTGGATTGAATATTTACCTGAGAATTTCTGTTTGGCAAAAATTTCAAGTTCATCGCTTGTTGGAACTATCTGTCAGGCATGGATGAACGGTATTAACTCCTCGTTGTCACACTGGAGTCACTTTAACTTCAGCGAGAGTTTAAGACAAGAGTCAAAATAATTATATAAATAAATACATTTTTGTAGTAAGCACATCTCACTTTTCTCTAAAACGACCCTTTTCATTTTTTAAAACAAATACCTTCTTTGGAACGCGCAGTATTACACAAAGTTTCTTTTAAAGCGTTATCCGTCTAGAGTATGGACACCGTTCAAATTTTTCCAAAAAATATTAAATCTTTAAAGAGCTCTGAAGTTTTCAGTAAAAAAGTCATCCTTCCCGACTTTTTACATTCGTAATTTGTTTAAGCATGTTAAAATTAAAATTAAAAATTTTTTGACCCATATTTCAGAACGTTTGAAGAATGTTCAGTAACCTTTTAATCCGGTGCAACGAATAGTTTAGACATGGCAACCATTTAAAGTTGCTGGGATCACTTTGACCCTGTGTGACCAATTTGATATTCTACTCAAGCGTGACCACGAGGGGCTAATGCGAACCATTAATTTCTCAGTAAATTCTCAAGTGCAAGAATCTTTTCAACGTTCAAGTGTACTATAAAATATTTTACCTTGTTTTCAACAGTCTGAATTTTATAATTTTTATAAATTTTAATCGTGCACCGCGTCTTCGGTCTCCTACTTGTGTTTCTTAGAATTAAACGTCATCTACGTCAGTAATGCACTCATTGGTATTAATTCCTCTTTCTGTCTTGCTTAGGGGTACCCGGTAAAAGGAACGAAATCTACTACAACTGCTGCCCGGAGCCGTACATAGACATTACTTTCGTCGTCATCATCAGAAGACGCACACTCTACTACTTCTTCAACCTGATCGTGCCGTGCGTCCTGATTGCCAGCATGGCCGTCCTCGGGTTCACCCTGCCGCCCGATTCCGGCGAGAAACTCTCCCTCGGCAAGTTTCAACTCGATGCAAAACTCCGATTGCCCCCGACAGCCCGTAAACGCTCTCGCGATTAGGCACGTCCCTGTTTGCTAAGAGCATCAGACGTTTGCGCGATTAGGTCCGACCTAGTTCCGGTTGGCAGGTTCTCCCGCATCCGGGCACCGTGAAGAAACTATTTTGTACCGCGTCCTCGCGAGTTTCTTTCGCAATCGAGGATCGTGGAACTTTATCGACATTTCAATGTGGAAATTAGCATCAATGAGAAATTCCGCTATACGAAAACTTGGTTCGTCGAGGTTCAAACTTCGAATGCGATTTCGCATTGTCGCGCAATTATTACCGCGAGGAGAACAATCGAAATCTCGCAAGACGCATGCCGCGCGGCAACTGCAAATCTAAATAACACATTTACAGAAATATTTTCGGAACAAATTGCTAAAATAGATTTAAAACTTTAAAAGGGGACATTTTTATTCTCTTTATTATTTTATTGCAAAAAAAAAGAATTGATTTCTCTATAATTACTTTTAACACATTCTATTTAACCGCATTTTCAACGGGATGTTTTTTTTTTCCAAAATATCGATGAATATAATGTGCGGGTAGAGCAAAATGAAAAATCATCGTAACTCCAAAAATGACAAATGATTCACAATTAACACGGTGGCTTAGCTGACAGTTCGCCCAGCATAAAAATGCCCGGCGTCATCTCAGTGCAACGTAACGAAGCGCTTTCATTTTCTTTCCCCCGCACGCATAGTTGTAACATTACAATTATATAGATAGAGAAAGATTGCATCGATGCTATCCGTGACATGTTATTTCATTGTTTCCCCGTAAGCGTGGTCGTTCTGGAATTTACCAAGAAGCCGGATGCCCGGGAGAAATCCTGCCTCCTACGGCTCGAATCGCTCGGCTGCATAATTCCGATTCCTTGCCTGCCTCGCCTCACGCTGCCATGTAAACGCTCCCGTGATTAGAGCCGGGGTGCGGGAGTTCCCTAAGCGCATCGAGCGTTTACGCGATTAGATTTCGCCCCGATCCCGATTGAAACGGCGTCCTGGTGCGCAAACTTCGGCGGGCCTTCTATTCAGGTCGTAGAGTTTCTTCGAGCGTGCGAGCGCGTTGCTGAATATCCATCGAATTCGGAAGCGATCGCGACAATCGCCGTCATCGACGCGGAGATACGCCGACAATGGAATGACAATGTCGAACAATCGCAGACGTCTTCGTTGCGAATTTCCTTAAGGTTTATATCTACTCGTAGATCGAGATACGATTAACAATGGGCTCTGCACGGAGGCAGAGCACTTTAGGGCGATTTTCTCAGCGTTGAGAGCGATATGTAAACAAATGTGAATATGGATTAGACATTTTGTATTTGACAATTATATTCTATATTTGCAATTATATAGTTTTTCCATTAAGAATAGATCGATTTATATCGAAAAAGTTTGAAGATATGGAGCATTGTGTAATGCACAGATTGTCTAATCTTCTTTTTTTCTTTTCTCTTTATTTCTCCGCTCTCTAAAAGTTAATCAATGAATTATTACTGAAAACAGTGAATAGTCGGTGATTTGCAGATATAAGTATACTACTGAAAATTGCAGTGGTGTACTTATAACTGTGAATCAATGACTATTCACTGTTTTCGGTGATAATCCGCCGATTGACTTTTAGATAGTGTAAGAGATTCAATTCTTTAAGCTTAAATTACTTGGATTTCTTATCTCGAATTTAATTGTTTATAAATCGCCTTAAAAACGTGGCACAGATTTTCCACTACGTTGAAATGATTGCAAACGTCCTGTTTCAAGAGAAAACGAAACGAGTTGGAAAGAAAACAATGCGGCTCAATCACAATTGACTTTCGTTTCTAAGGAACTCGAGGGCAACTCTTATCACGAGGGTAACGCGTTATCACGAGCCTCGATAAAGCTCGAGTAAAGTCTGATATTCAGATGAGGCATCTGCTGCAGATGCCGCGGCGTTTTGAAAGTCTAAATAATTTGGAAGTGCCTCTTAACGCGACGCGGTGGTTCGCGAGTGAGTACCGAGTTCAAAGCCCGAGCTGTGCCGGATACTTAAGGTACTTGGTGCGAACTGTCTCTGAAGTTTCTTACTCAAGATCTAATCGAAACTAGGAATCGGTAAAATTGCATCGTTCGCTCTTAAAAAGATATATTTCTCTTTGTAAATTCTCTATATAAATTTGTTCTTATGTCCTCAAAGAGTATAAACAGAAATGTAAAGAATACCTTTATGTGTCACCGCATTCGATACGGCGAAGTTGGAGAAACCACATCGCCTTAGGGTATACGGACTGAGAATCGAAGAGCCTTCAGCGTGGGTTGCTGGAGGCCCTTCGAGCGTTCAAGGACCGAGGGTTGATCCCGCCTGACCACCTCCTCGACGCGCACTCGACTTTAACATTAATTAATCGAAGCCAACGAACCTCTTTTGCAGGGGTAACCATCCTCCTGTCCCTTACTGTGTTCCTGAATATGGTTGCCGAGACAATGCCGGCGACGTCCGACGCTGTGCCGCTTTTAGGTAAGCTTGTTTTGACTGGTTTTCGAAATGATTAATTTTCAATGTGAGGAAGCAGCGTGATTGATCGCCTCTATTGCGAGCCGTTTGAGTGGAAAAAGGGCGAGAAGAAGGGAACAAATCCTTGTTCCTTTCCTCTCACCCTATTTTTCTAAGACATTGTTCCCTGATTGTGCATCGCCTACAAGCAGATGCTAACTAATACTCTTTGACTTAAAGTTAAAGCAATTTCACAGCAATATTATGTCACTAATGTCTATGAATTTATGTATGAATTTTGTAATATATGAATTTTAATATGAATTAATGTAATCTGTATTTATAATCGTAAGTTTAATCGCACAAGTACAATTTTAGTTTTAGAAAAATATCATTTGTTTACATTAGATGTGATTGTACATATATTTAAAGGAAACTATAAATTTTTAGACCGGTTCATCAATTGCATTTAATGTATAATTGAAACATAATATTTCTGCTTCTATTACAAAAGTTATATACTACAGGAAAAGAATTGACAATAAGTTGAGCAATATTAATGCCTATCCAACGAATATAATAAAGTTGGAATTTTTTGAACATTGAAGCAGAGTCACTTGTTTACTAATTTAGGTTTCTTTTAAATTCTTACACTTATCTTTTACTATCTTGTATTTACTCTTGTGTTTTTCAGGAACATATTTCAATTGCATCATGTTTATGGTGGCCAGTAGCGTAGTCAGCACGATCCTCATCTTGAACTATCATCATCGAAATGCTGACTCCCATGAAATGGGTCGATGGGTAATTTCCTACGATCGATATCAAAGCATATAACATAACACTGAGATTGTTACAATTTAATCACCTTGTATTTCGATGCCAGCACTGCAGTGCTAGTGTTGCGTTAGTTAATTAGTCAACACCTTGAACACAGTAAAGCATTCTAAATATAACTAGTGTCGAATTAATCTACACTTTTCTTGTTACATCTGTGAAGTGTATACTTTTGTTTTAAATTTCTATCTAAATTTAAGTGAAACTTATCGAGGTACACGGGCTTTCCGCAGCAGAGTTAATGACAAATTTGCGATAAGACAATAAAATGAAAGCAGTGACTAATTTTGTCGGCGTACAGTTAATCGGACGGAGTAGAACGCATTAATATCCGATAAAATCGGTACAAACCAACGATAAACTATCTCTAGAATTTTACCTTACAAATTATTTATTCGCTATCTATTTATCTGTGTATTTTCTTCCAATTGTTTCTGGAATTAAGCAATTTTTTTACAATACTTTCTGAGACTATTTCTTAGAAACGTACTAGCTAAACATCTTATTAAGGTCCTTTTTATTCTCGCAAGAGATATGAAAATCATTTTGTTGAAGCTCGATTCAATTCGTTGCCGGTGCTATATGACTTCCGTACGTATCGGTAGATAATTATGGTTTTAATTAAAATGCAACTCGCCGTTGTCGAGGCCGATACATCGCTCTCTTTTCATCATGGATAAATCAGGAATTTTATGGGCGAATAATTAAGGGCTACTCTGCCGAATGCACGCTGCGATAATAAATCACGTATAATCGAATTTTTCGCCGGACGTCACGTTAATTAGAATGTAAATTTCGGAGATTGATTTCCCGCGCGATCAGATTTCTGTAAACGGAACACACGCACCTAAGCTAAGTTAAATTAACGAGTGTGAATGATTCTAAGCCGCAAAGTGTCAAGAAGCTCAAATAGGGAAATAAAATAGATGAGAACACTTGTGCAAATGGCTTTCTTAAACTTTAATTAGTCATCGTCATGTGCGAATAACATTGACAATTATATTTTATATTGACTTGTATTTTAACTTGATCTGAAAACACAGCAGAATAAATATTTAAGAAAGGCTGTTATAAAAAGTAATAGGCAAAATCAAACTTTCTTGCATAATTAGATTTGATTACATTATTGCATACATCTGCACACAATTAGATACGTATTAGACTATACTATCAAAACTTTTTTATTACAGGTTAAAGTACTTTTCCTATTTTGGCTACCTCGAATACTCCGTATGTCAAGGCCAGAACCGGAAGACAAGGAAGTACAAAAGTCTCAAAAGCCATCTCCAGTCACGGGTAAGATAAATTTCGTACGGAGATCATAAGTCAGACAGTTGGCTCGCTGATGACAGCATTGTTTATGCGAGTAACTTAAATGTGACAAGTCAACGTAATGTTCTTATCTACTGTGTTAGTAATTGTATATAAGTTCCAAGTAGCTCTTAGCTTGAATGAATAATTTTTGCAAGAAAAATATTATTATTAGGCTACCAAGATCCAGCACGATCGAAAGTGGGACATTTTCTAATTGCAACAACTCGTTTTCGGATGACAGGTGCGAGCAAGTCATACGGCGATCTGGAGCTGCATCAGAGGAGTAGTAAGTCCCTCCTGGCGAACGTCCTGGACCTGGATGACAACGCGCTGGCGTCTCACAACAATTTGCTGAACAATGTGTACAGCACACCCGGACCTCATCACGCGCACGCGATGGGTCACGGCCACAGTCACATACACACGACGCCCCATCATCATCACAGCCACGCACCCACGACGCCGCACCATCAACACGCGACGCAGACGCCCATGCACTCATCGTACCCCGGCCATCAAATCTCGCATACGCCGCACCATCATTCACATCCGCAAGACGCGCCAACGCCGCAGGTCGAGACGATGCTTCAGAACGCGTGCTTCTGCGCTCGTTACGAGCTTGTACTAATTTTGAAGGAGATTAAGGTAACGATCTAATTCAACAATTGGAAAAATGTTGGGATTTCTCTAGTGTCTTTAAAGTTGTTAAATATTTAACTTGAGGAGATCCTAAGGTCTTCTGAAAGTTTCCAAATAATAGGGTAGCGGGGGGCCCTTTGAACTCGCGGCTTCAAGCTTCCAAGATTCTAAAGTCTTAAAGTTTCAAGATATCTAAAACCCAATGGCTCGTAAGTCCCAAGATTGGAAAGCCTCAATGTCTTTAAACCCTAAGATGCAGTGTTTCAAAAATCCCGAAAGTATTAAAGTTGGAAGATTCAAATCGGAAAATGTCGGGGTTGTAAAACTTGGAAACGGCAAAGAGAGAATCAAAGTCTCCCCCCCTTTCCCCCCAGAAATGCAGCAATAGTTATCCCGAAAAAATAACGATCTTGTTTTAGATAATAACGAATCAACTGAAGAGCGAGGATGAGAACACGAAGATCACGAACGATTGGAAGTTCGCGGCGATGGTGATCGATAGGATGTGCCTAATCATTTTTACTCTGTTCACTATCATCGCTACCATCACCGTCCTGCTGTCAGCGCCGCATATTATCGTCACGTGATTCAGAAAAGCCAGTCTGCCGCCGGTGGTTCCGGGGCCGACGGGGATTGCGTGCCGAGCGCCGGCGTCGACGGACGCCGCTCGCGACGCTCTAACCGAGCGTCCGCCCTTAACCGGTTTCCACCGGGTCGGGTTTAAGGGTGTTCATCTTCGGGTTCGCACGCCGCTTCGTTTCGGAGACCTGCGCGTTAGGAAGAAAGCAATACGGGGAGTAACTTCGTTTCTTTATGATATACATAATGATACCAGTAATAATGAAAATAATAACACTATCGATAATGAGAATAACGATAATAGTACTAATAATAATTACGTAATAGTGACGGTAAAACTTTATCGTATAATTATCCCACAAGGACGCCTTAGCGAAACACGTTGACGCGCCGTTTATAAGCGGCGCGAGCGCACGCGTGAATACGAAGGACATGTTACACAGGGACACGCGGGAGTAAGAGGATACGCGAGGAACACGTACACTGGTTTGTTACACGCATCCCTGAGAGCAGTCGATGTGACGAACACTTTGTACAGTTGAGATGGGCACGTTTTATCGAACGAGTCAAATAATTAGTTGTAACAAGAGATCCAATTACGAATTTTCATAGAGATAAGTAACGCTCGAGTCGAGAATCAAGGGGAGATTCGACTCTGTCCTCCGCGACTACTGCTTGGGGATGTACCACACATACACGTACACACACGCACGTAACATCATGCGAGAGCGATAATATATATACGCATGGAACCGTGATTTGCCAATGAGTTAAAAATACTTTTCTGCGGCCCAAGGTTAGTACGATATAGAAATCTTCGAATGTACCCGAGGATCAGTATTGCTAGGTTTAAGAGACTCTTACGGCAGTCCAGACAAGTTTCGTAACGTTTCTACGAATCCGCGTAAAGACTCCAAATTGGAGAATCCCCGAAAGCGTAAATTTGGAAAAATGCAAATTTCAAACAATATAAAATTTAAATATAACCGAGAGATATGAATATATATAGTAGTGCGCTCATTAAGAAACAAAAACACTGATATAAAATCAAAGTTTTCAAGTGTGACTGAGATTCTCGAGAATACGTAAAACCGTAATATTCAAAGGAAATGTGGGAATTGCTACACGTCAGTTGATATCGGTCCTTGTCCGTGATAAGATAAAAGAAGAGAAGCGCTCGAGAATGCTGGCGACGGATCCTTTTTGTCCGTACGAAACGAAGTGACGAGAGGGGGGAAAGCAGAAAAAGAACGGCAAAGAGGGAGATAAAAAAAGGGCGAGGAAGGACAAGGGTTGGGCTAAAAGTATAACGCACAGGTTACACTCTCAGAATACACACGACGAACTGCCAAGGTGATTTAAATAATGCCAGAGAATTTTTCTTATCCGTATCATTAGTATGTAAAAATCGACGACGACTTAATAAACGGGGGATTTGTATTACGATTTAAGTGGCGGTGAGACATAAAACGCTCTCTCGAGTAGGTCGCGAGGGAGACCCGAAGGACACTACGGAAGGATGCAGAAATTGGACGCGGGAGAAGAGTGCGAGGGATGGTTGTGATTGTTCGATAACTTTCGCCGTGGCAAATTCAGTTTCGGACAAATGTACTTTCTTTCACGTCTGCAAGTTCGAGGCTGTCTTCTCATTAATCCGCATTCTCGTCGCGCATTTAGCCTTAAATGCAACTTTCTGATCCCTGCTTTGCATCGGGATCATGTAAATACGAGCTCCACATTAAACATGCATATTGCGATATTAAACGGCTCTATATATTTCGAGAATCGGACGGCTAACTTTTCGGGCTGACTGTCTGACTTGCATATAAATTGAGAAACCGCGCAAGCCGAAAATCTCGTATTTTTCTCAACAAGACCCTCAAGTTTTGAATTTCAAGCAAAACAGACATACTTTCTGCTGGATGTGTACCGAGAAAACGGATCGTTATCTCCTACACGGGCGTACGCGGACGTACGTTACATTTTGTACTATGTAATATACATATTCGCGTACGTTTTATTGTCTGACACGTCAATCTTTTCCCTACTCTATAACGACACCGTTACAGAAATCGTTATCGCGACAGCACTGCAACTTCTTTCCGACCTTTAAAAAGCGTCTCGGAGAGCAAAAGCTAAAAGAGCGTGGGCTTTTATCTCTCTTCGATTAGAAAAGATGTAACTTCAATGTCTCCCGTTCTTATTACCTTCGGAAACACCGCTGCGTATTTCCGCTGACACCGAATATCGGCAACTGTATTCAAACTGAACGACTATGCTATATGTATAAATTAACATTGCGATACTAATCGCTACGATCAACGAGTGGTTCGGTGATGACGAGAAATATTGTTTTTCATCCGCAAAAAGACGATACAGGGAACGTGTGACCTCGCTTTCGTGTCCATTCCAAAAATTAACACTTGTTACGTTCTCTGCTAATTCACGAAGCCGCTCGAGAGTGTGGTGGGAAAGCGCGGAAGCGACGGAGTCGATTAGTCACGCTAGGAGGAAGAAGAAGCAACGTGGGACGGCGACTGATAAAGAAAAGGAAGTTGTGCTCTTGCTCACGGACAGACTCGTAGGCGGACGTCGTCTCGACGAGACATCAGGGAGACGAACTCAAGTCGTATCGTACAGTTTTCGGCCATCGGCACTGGATACGCGACAACCAATCACGTTACCTTTTAAATACTATTAAAGATTATTAAAATAATGAATCGTTGTTGATCGTGTTGTATCGTGGACGGAATTACGCGTAGGAGTATAGTAAGAATACGATGTTTTTTTGATCTCTAGCGCGCGGAAACGACAAGGAGAAACAGATTAACTCGTATTAAACTCGTAAGGGATAGGGATTTTTAGACGAGAGATGCGATTAATCAGTATAAGTGTCAAATAGTTAAGAGGAAATCAAGGAAGTAATTCGCTAAGAAAAGGAATAAACGTGTAGTTCGAGACATCGACGTTTTAATGCCGATACGATTGCTCTTCGTGCGATATAAAAATTAATAGACGGCTCGATTAGCCTCTAATTGACTTGGCGAGATAATGACGTTACGCCTGGTCTTATGAACCAAATACATGCTGAACTGACCTAGTACTTTAGAACTAGAACAACTAATGCCACACATCACGCTTTGGAAGTAGGAAGAAGGAAAACTGAGGGAACATTTGTATACTCGCATAAGAGGAATGTATGTATATTTCATCGTTTGTAATATACATTTACTTTCCAACGGTTTAATTTTATTTTGAAAGAATCATTTCTGCTAGAGAAAGAGAGAGATCATATTTTTACATGTATTTATCATTGCTCAAAAGAACTTTACGTTCTCATGCTTTTTTCCCTATAAGAAAAATAGAATAAGCCTCTCAATATCGTTCAGATAAGGGAACGCTTATCTTCCTACTTCCAGGCTACAAAGTGCCGTTGATTGTATCGTTTTCAAACAAGTTAATGATGTAAAATAGCGGTTTCTTAATGCCTTTGCAATTCTCGTCATTTGTAAGACGTCTGATCCCAATAGCTTTCATTTTTAATGTACGTTTGCTGTAGTTCAAGTTGGTGGAAAGAAATTATTAACGTCGTTTTTTATTACGGTAAGACTATACCATCTGTTTTTTATATATATATAGAATAAGAGGAGAAATGCGATTAGATCTTACGTGTCTTTCTGTCCATATGCAGGCTTTCTTTCAAACTGACGAACGTTTTCAAAATTACAGCACACAGAGGCTATTACTTACTGATAAAATTGTTTTTAAATTTATTATCAGTGAAATAATTACCGGCGTGTTGTCACATTATTTCGAATTACTTTGAAATATTAAAGGAAAATTATTCCACTGCTAGGGCTTTTTTAAACGAAGCCTCTGCTTACTCGAATTTAACCGCGATTGTTATGCGCAGAACATAGTATGCGTATCAAATCGATTGTGAATAATTATATCGCAGGTATAAAATTAATCTAGAAGCAGCGATATATATGGATTACGAGTCCTAGAACATTACGGGTATCAAAAAATCGTGTTAGCGAAACAACGCGTGATCTTAATGTAATCGAGGTTTAACGATTAGATAGAAAAAAAATAATACGTACCACGGTACGCGCGATACTGTGCGACTATACTTGTTATAATTATACTTACAAATGTGCATTATCACATATCGCATATTGAAATTCACGTTGAAGAAAATTGCTCACTGTAATTCGTCGCTAACCGCTGATTTATTTTCCTATAAATTAATAAGCGTACGTACAACCACGAGCGATGACAGGAACGACCATTCTTTCCTTCACGTGGAAACAATTAGAATCTTACGACGGAAACTAACGATAACGAAATAACGCAAGTTTTTTGCATCGTAGAACAGTTTGTATCTAAGGAGAAAAATGGTTTCAGGATTATTTGGTTTGTATAAAAAATTACAATATGCAGATAAACAACGGTCATGAAAACTGAAGTTTGTAATCGAATAAAATTAATCTGATATGTCGGAACGCTTCAGATCCTTTTCTCGCCATGATGCGAAACTTGCCTGATTTTGCGATATACGTATGAAAACGCTTACGGAAATTAATATGTTTTAATACAAACTCCATCCTGCGACTTTCGCGACAAGAAATCGCAAGGAAAATTATTGCCGAAAGATCTGCAAACATCCAAATTTGCGTAAAAGTAAATTTTTAAATCAGGCGAAACGTGACATGCATTTCATATGAAAAGTTTCCACCTCCTTGAACTCGATATGGACTGTATTCCGAAGATAACGCAGCAAACGTACTTGAACGTGGTATGATCCGCCGCTTTCATAGTTGAAAATGATTATAATGAATCGCCATTAGCCTCGACAGATTTATCGAGTGAGAGAGTGAAATTAAAAAATACGCAGAGTTAAAAGTTTTGTTTGGTTTATTCTTGTTGCCAGTCAATTTTAATAGTAAAATATATGTAAAAGTCTTTAATTAACGTTAAGTTATACAGTTTTTATATAAAATGTTTTGTTTAAGTTGTCTTATATCTTTCCACATTACTGTCATTATTATAAAATATATAAAATTTATTTAAATTGGCAGAGATTAAAACATATAATTAAATGTCATAACGACTCATTTTTGTGTGCGAATTTAACATTCCTTTAAGTTACTGTTAAACACTTAACATTTCAATTTTTTCTCTAACTTTTAGTTTGGATTAATAATACAAATTTGCGCAAAAAATACGCGTAATCCAAGGATTTGTATAAGTTGAATTTAAAGGAACTGGCAAGTTTCTTTGACTTCTAATTGCTTTCCATTATATTAATTTGTCAAAATTAGACGAAAGCGGCGGCAGACAATGAAATTTCCGTACAAATTGAACATTTAAGCGAATGACCGAACAAGGGAAAAAGAGAGAAAGTGAGGAGGGGGAGTAAGATAAGCGGCATTAACGTGACTTGCGCCTTTAAAATCGATAACTCAGTTTAATACGCGCGAGGCTGTTATATAAACTATAATCTTGTAATAAAAGAGGAATAATAATAATAACATTAGTGATAACGATTAACGCTAACGATAAATGATAATATTATTATTACTATTAATAATAACAATAATAATAATATTAAACCGTATTAGCTACGAGACTCTTCGCCCGTGTACGAAATGTTGAAATCTCCTTTCTACGACGTTGATATACGATTAAGTCGACTTCCGATCGCGAATCGAATCGTTCCCAATTAAGGAGTAGTTGCGGTGGACAGAAAGAAGGAAGGAAGAAAATAAATATACGAGTTAACTAAACGAAGGTTGATAGGCTTATAGGATATCGTAGTAGCGCATATGTACAGGGTGAAGAAAAGAAAATTCGGCGCGGAGCGATGAGGGATCTTTCGAACGTCTTGTCCACCGATCGTCGAGCGAGGAACAACAGAAACAAGGAGGCGGTTTTAAAAGAGTATCGATTAGGACTCGATATCCAATTTGTCAGCAATAATCCAATGTCGGAATTCCTGACGACGGGCTTCGTCTCATCGAGCCGACGCGGCACTTCCGTCGTGACGTGGAAATTAACCCGTTATACCCAGACGTAAAGAAAAAAGAATTGCTCTTGAGTTGTCCAGAGATCCTTAAGTAAAGTGCTCCTGCGTACATCGGACATACGGGCTATAACGAGTTAAAGCCGTATGCGAGTTTCACTAGCACCTCTAGCCCGTTTCACTCGACTGTTAATTACTCGAGCGTTTTAAGAACTTTACCTAAGGACTTACCGATAGAGATAATTACGATTGCTCATCGATTATGCCTGTTTAAGTGTCAAGACAATCCCCCGATGACTCCAAGCGGCTGACGACGAAAACTGTACTTCTCGATATATGTAATACTACCTCTAATGCGAGAGTATCGATGGCACTCTGCCCGTCGAGTGTAATTTATCGTAAGGTCTATTATACTATAGCATGCCAAAGTCTTCCGCCATTAGTCGCCTAGTGTAGCTGACGAGTTTTCTCGGTTGCAAAAAGTTTTCGCGAGATCGTCGCTGTAAAGATCGTCGAGTGCTCGCGCGGAACCGATCCCGTTTGCACCAAAATCGCTCAAGGGGACGTAATCAAGGCTTTGACGAAAGTCGTCGCAACTGCTCGCGGCTGTTCAGCATCGGTAGCTCGCTGTGATGTAAGTAGTTGAAGCTCTAGCGACAAACTCTACACGTAGATCTAGTCACTGAAACTAGCCGCACGACGGAAAGCGAGAGGCGAAATGGGACGAGATCATCGAGATTTGTTCAAGTAATTTTCCTCCCGACGATTCGATCGCACAATTTTATCCTCGGGGCAAATGCAACGTAGTACATACCTGCATGCGTGCGTTTTTCATTGAAACACGTAATCGCGATCGAGTAATTGAAAATCTCCGACAAAATAGAAAAATGATGGAATGAAACTCGCGATCCTTAAAAATCCTTATGCGATCAACATGTATAATACTTACTCGATCCGACGGCGACAATCGGATCGACTACAGCAGCGCGTTTCCCGAACACGCGCGTAGCTTCACTTTGCGTTGACTTTAAGAGTGTGAATTTTTCATAATAAATTATTCACACGCACGCTTTCGATGAAGAGTGACTTGGAGAAGTGAAACGTGGGGCAAACACGATCATCATTCATCTCCGTTACAGTCAGGAGTGCAGGGACCGAAGCGCCGAAGTTACGAAGAAAATAGAGGCGACGCTTTTCACTTTTTAAACGGCACGTCTGACTCTTTGAATCGGTGGAGAAACGTTCGGAAGATCAACGATCCCCTTGCTCGTTCTTATTAGGCCGCTCTTTATACATACATGTATATAGCACGTATACATGTAATATATGTTATATAATACATACGCGACAGAGGTTTAATTATATCGACGACACGTAGCATGTAAATCGTTGCTCGCGCTCAGCCCCGTTGTTAAATTAAGCGAAACGAGATATCGTCCGCGTTGGATATTGCTGCTCGTTACATGAATCGCGTCGTTCTGCTTATCGATCGTTACATTAAGTTCTTACGACAAATTTCTACGCATAAAGACAAGTGACTTGACAGGGTGCGAAACGAAACGATTGTAAAATAATACTACTGTACACTGCTATAAAAATGTGACCGTATTGTCGAAAAATATCGTATACTAAACCCGCGCAAAATGGTACAAATACCGCGGCGTTGCAAGAGAGCTTTACACAGATCGGATAAAAACACAATGGTAGACTAATAGTCGGCGCAAAGGGCATTCCTCCGATATTCCTCCGATTGGAAAGCCCGTCGAAACCTCGGGTTAAATCGCTTTTGATGGAACAATCGTATGGAGATATAGAATGTTTTCGCTGTAAAACTACGCCATCGACGTTCGATGGCTCGTGGAGGCCATCGCGGCGGAATGGCAAGAGCAAAACGACGCTTTTCGCACGCGGCGACGCGGATTTCGAGTGTCACGTTATCGTCATCGAATCGTTTTGCCGGCGCGGACTCGGGGCAAGGTTTGCGTGTAAATTCCATTTGTGCCATTGTTTGTAAAGCAATGATCAATCATCCGGGTAGACCGGTCGATTAACGCGGGCAGGCGAAAGCGAGAATACCAGGTAGAAAAGGCGTAATTAAGATGCGCGCTCGTGCGCGTATCTCTTTTTACAACGGTGGCGAATTAATTAATTAGACTAACTGATTAGGTGAAGCGTAAGTTCAAGTGCCAAATTTTTAGCTAATCCTTAAAGCGTAAACGAGCGCGCTGTACGGAGCGAACGTGTACGCGATAGGGCTGCATAGGAATGTAATTAACGCGTGGAAGATCAACGGCGGCGCGGAAGTAACAAGTAGAATCGTTTACAAATTCATTCGTTACAAAAATCGAACAAATCTGCGAAATGGTTTCGTGTTGTAGATTTTAGAGAGAGGTCTTGCTGATTTTCTTTTGTTTCGCTGTTACATTGATTTATTAAACCGTGTCCTGAGAAACGTAACGAAGACATTCCTTATCACTCTTTGCCAATAAGTTCCTCGAACTAAAGAAACAAATATGATATAAAGAAAGCAAAGAGTTTATTATCGGATAATTATTATCTAATAGTATCAGTTTATAGAAAGAAATTCAAAACGCATAACGTTTGTGCGAGTGTGCACAAAAGTACGATTCTTTTTCCACTACGATTTTACGTTACTTTTAAATTGCCGTATGCTCTCAAATGTCGAATGTCACGTAATACGCGGATTTACCGTGCGAAATCGCGGACAAAAGAGGAAACAAAATCCTGAGTTCGAGTCAAGCGAGTATTACACATTTTGCGTCAGAATTCCATGGTGAACGAAATGGACGGGAGAAAAAAATACATACAAAAAGAACAGAGATAAGAAAAAACGCGTCACAGCCAACTGAATTTAAAAATGAATTTTTACAAAAGCACAAGTGCATACAGTTCTTTCCGGCAGGCAATACTCGTTTCCTTCCGTTTTGAATCCTCGCTCAGCTAACTCATCACGCGTGATTCCACAGAAAGCTGCGTTGTCCTATCAAAAAAAAAGAGAAAAAAAAAGAGAAAAAGGGAAACCGATTTTTAGAAAAGGAGACAAAGGAAACGAGAATTCGCGCTGGATGATTAGCGAAACAGCGAAGAAGAAATATAATTTTTAAATTACCGCAAAAAATAAATAATAATAAAGAAATAAATAAATAAAAGCGAAAAAACTATTAAGCATTGTACCACTAAACATAAACTATATATATTTAAACTATTGAATGCTAAAATCATATTCGTAATAATGAGTAAAAGAAAATGGTTAATAATCGATTAACTGAATATTAAAGCTAGCCTGTAATCAATAGCGACGTAGTTATACTCTGACAGTAATTATAGGGGTGATTCAAAGGTAGTCTATTAGCAGTTAGGGTCGAACTTTATCGAGATCACTTTCTCTCTAAACTAACAATGGAAAAAAAAAGATGAAGTTACAACTTAATTATCTCTCGATGCTAACCTATTGAATTTAAAGGACGTTAAAAGCCGCGCTGATGCGATTTCAGAAAACCGACTATGTAGAGCGCGATCTACTCTCTTCATTACCTACCTATATCTTTATTCCTTACGTACTTAAAAAAAGAAAGAAAGAAAGAAAGAAATCGCCTCGTATTGTCCACCGTTACACCAGTCATTAAGATATCGACAATTAAAGTGCGCGTTATCGATCGCCATCGAGAAATGCGAGGAGAGAAGGGCGAGAATTAAAAAAAAAAAACAATGTTACTGTTTCCATAGACCCTGGTGGGACGATGCAATTGAACTGAACTCACCCGATCTCACTTGACTTTTAATTATGCCTCCGATAACAGCCTGGTCTGATAGTAAATCCATACCGGAGGAGGTATAAGAGAGCGTGAATAAAAATTTGTTATATTTCTACGCTGGGCTCCTTTTCGAGGCAACGTTGATCGATATGAGAATCCCTGTTAACTGGTGAGCACTGTAATCGCCGCATTGTAATATTATTAACATTATTACGTTATTATGAAATTGTTGAAATAAATGAAATGAAAATAAACGTCTTCCACTTCCCCCTCTTTTCTTTCGGTCACACGCATGTCAGCAACGAATTTGTTTATCGGTGGTTTGAAAGCGGAACTTAATTTATGGATAATCCGGGACGTTACGGCTGCAAAGTGCAATCGTGATATCAGTCGAAACGATATAATAAACGTGGAGGTATAAAATTCCATGAGCTTTATTGATGCATTATTTCATTATAAAAAGGGCTACTTAACTTTTACGTTAAACTTCTCTTTTACCTACCAACATACAGTAATGCACGAATATATAATTACTATATTATTTATCATGCATAATAAAGTACAAACTTTTCGATTCAACAATTTTCGGTTTTCTTGTTTCATGCGCAAAGTAAACTATAGTACATATTCGCTGGTCGTCTTCCTTCCCGCAGTAGATAAAAGACACGTATGTACGGATAGAGCTGCGAAATCTCGTTTATTGTTCATGTTAGATCGCACTCAATCAATTACACGAAACCTATTGACACGAGAGGGATGGAACAAAACGGAATATGCCAGTGTTCTTGGTTTCTAAATTTTAATTATTGTATTTCTTTCCAGGAAGACACGACATTGCGCTATTAATAAATAACGGCATTATAACGATAAAATATTGTCGATAAATCTGGGTGTACAAAAACTCTTCTTCAGCTGACGAAATTGCAAGGTAAATTTGTTTCGAATACAAAACTTGTAAGTGAAATTAAAATTTACAAGCGAATGTTATTGGTCGACTTGCGAAAGACGGGGAAAAAGTCTGTACGTTAAATTTCGTTTAAAAATCAAATAAATCCGTATTCCATACATTCAAATTTGCTAAGACTAACGCAGGTGTTTATAAATAAGGATGTCTTTCTGGGATTCCGCGTCCTCCCACGCTGTCGTTATCAAGCGTCTTCAAGTAAGTCTAAAATTATTTTACTATTTGCTTCGATAAACGTAACGATATCGGCTTACATAACAACAGATTTAGATGCATTTGAAGAAACTATTGCAACAACTATAACATTAACATTAACTTCGTTAAACGGGAATAACTATTAATGCACGCAATGATGCCGCTTATTACATAAAAAAAAATTCTGCGAGGCAGATCAATTAACAATCGACGTAACAGAATAAATCCTCAAAATGGCGGAACGTGAAACTGAAGAGGTTTATAAATAGCATACATTTTTTATTATCAATACACCGAGAGATATTGCAAAAGAGTCGCGTAAAATTATAAAGAAATATAAGAGTTTACACTTTCAGTTATTTGACTGCTCGTAACAAAATCCTCGATATCCAACAGTCGACTGGCAACCTTCTCCCAGACAGAACGTTCTTTATTAGATAAAACTTGACCGTTTAACAGTCTCTCTGTACAATATATACGGTAAGCATGGCTATGATGTTCTATTAAAGCACGACGTTCTTATGACGAAGAATCGTGCTTCCTACAATGCGCATAATTATTGACGCAAAAGAGCGGCTCATACTCTCACTTCGCATATATAACTGAGCAGCTGTTTGTAGTCCATTTAATTGCTTGTCACTCCTTAAAACATAATATCTTACATAAATTATATCTGTACGCTCAAGTACACTGATAATAAAAGCCGTTTAACCGCCCGTGTTTGTAGAATAAGGCAGAGATATTTGATAATGTAACTAGGACAAAAATCAACAGCAAAAAGCACAATTATGCAAAAGACTCGTAATGTCTGCGTGTTTTAAATAATGTATTAAGCAATATTCAATACTGTTTATACATATGCAGATATCTTGTGTAAATACGCGATATGAGAGCATGAGCTATTTCTTAGGAAAGCCAACCAAGTCAAAGTACATTCACAAAGTAAATTTTTCTTTGCAGCCAGTAAAGACGTAATCAAATTTTCCTGCTGGATAGATTTGCGTGTATCTAGGAAATTATTGTTAAAAGTATCTTTGCTTTTGACTGGCCTTCCGAGTCTTCCGAAAATCATCGATTACATACGCATATCCCTTCGTAATTAACACTTTGCACTCGAAGCTCTTTCACTAAAAAGTGGACGAAATGCTTTAAGACCAATATAAAAATTAATCATACGTATTTTATGATGAATAAAAGAGATAAAGGACAGATAGATGTTGAGGCTACGACAATCAGCTTCCAGTGTTCGAAGGTCGCCTCTCAGTCGCCATTCGAGTTGCTGCATTAAATCAAGTGGCGAGTGAGAGTCGCCTGTCGAGTGCAAAGGGTTAATTTAATTCGCAACGTCCCGTGCTCGCGTGGAATTCGTTACTACGAGCCCGCTAGTATGTCTGACGAACACGATTAATATCGTCGTAGTTCTATCAATATTTATGATGAATGCCACGACAACGAGTATCAAACGCGAAATCGACTAAATTACGATGTGACGATGCGACTTGCACGATTATTATCAAAATTATTTCGAATTTATATCTAAAACGTTATCGCGATTGATTCCGCGTGGCCATCCGCGTGTGGATGCACGTCGTGAAGAACGTTTCGATCTTATCTTATGCGGAGATTTGTTACTTTGATATCGAGAATTTGATCGATTTGGTTGAAGCTGATCGCTAAAATTATGGTCGAGAGATTAAATACAGAACTGTTTTCTCTCGCACGTTTAACACTAACGTATATAGACGCCAAACACGCATATACGGCGTACAGTAATTGAAACGTAACAGAAGGAAACTATGTTAAATGCATTAGTAAATTATAATGAAATTATAGTCCTAGAAAAATATGCGATAATTTTATATAATTTTTAATGTTAAACGTGAATTCCTGTAAGTCTGAGTTACTTTACGATAAACAATGCTCTCGTTTTATATAGGTACTTTCCTAACTTACCAGACTATTGGATTATTTGTATTCTAATTAAGAGATATCGATAAGTTGACTAAACAGGTTTGTGCGTACCATCGTTATATTAATATATTACAGTAATTTTGCCAAAGTACTATTAACTAATTCCGTATTTTTTTTTCTAGATACGATATATAATGCTATACAAGCGGATTTCATCGTTTAACATTAAGTGTGTTACGTGGTAACTACACGTTTAAAGGAGCAATCACGGTATTTCCAACAATAATCACTATACAAAATGTCGTACAAAACGGTACGTTTGGAGACAAAATGTATGAGAAATAAATCTCTAGCAAAAATTTATCCAGTGCCATATAACTATTAAAATTCTCTTCGATACGATCTCATTTGTGAATAAACTCTCCAAACTTGAAGCAAATTTTCAATTTAAAAACTGTAATATTAAGGAGAAACATCTTTGCCTAACAAACATTATCTTAAAATTATACAGTTGGCAAATAACTTGTTATAATATAGTTTCTCTCTTAAAAAGTTTGGAAATACCTATTTCTTCGGTAAAATGAAGAATGAGAACTATTCGATAGTCGTTTCGTAAATCCTTCGTCTAAGCGCGTCGCAATGGAGCTACCGGAAGTTTATGGTATCGGGGAAGACAATAATCGCAGAGGCAGCCATGATTAACACTAGTGGAATTATTATCTACATAATGTATGCCACTTGGATCGCTCGAGTTTCGTCATTGGGGGAGCTTACAAATCGTATTTTACGATCTTACAATTACGCAAAATCGAAATACACGCATAATTGGCAGAAGAGATTGTATTGAGACTTTCGTCAAAATAAATTTGTACTTGGCGCGGGATCCCGTAAAAGTCTGCAGGTATAAAAAATAATGACGTGTCAAACAGCCACTCGATTTGTAAGCGTTTCACGCTTATAATTGAAGTGACGAAATTAATCGCATCGGTGTTCGTTTTCGAAGGAGACGAAATGAGAACGGTCGCGACGATGGCACGTTATTTGTGATTGCGCTTCGTTGGGGCGAGTCGGATTATTTTCCGCGATAAATTTCTATAATACGATCCTGGTCCACATACTCGAAAATATGAGGCGCGTCCATTAGGATCCCGACGGTACCCGCGGTCGTCACTATAAAGAATATATAAAGTTGCAGTCGATCGATCACCATTGCGACATATTTCCAATCCTCCCTTGTCTGGAAGAGAGATATCGGGAAAAGAGTATTTAGAAGCGAGCCGTTATGTATTATCTAAGGGTGTTCTATTTACGTGAGAAGATCGCGAGGCTCTCACCTGTATATACAAGTCCTCGTTCCTGAGATGCTCCGCAATGAACTCCACGGCCTCGGTGGCCTTGCTGGCTTCCGGACTGAGCAACACCGAGTCCGAACTCTCGGATCCTCTTCTATCGCCCATGCCCTCCCCTGCTCCAGCGCCGCTGGAACTGCTCGTGGTGTGGTGAACCTTACGATTAATCTTACAATTTGGATGATGCAGATCGGACAGCTCCATCACCTCCATCTTCGATTTCGCCAGAGAGGCTGGCAGATGCTTCGGCACCTCGGTCGGACTCCCCGAGTATGTGGAAGCTGGCAGTGTTACGTTTGGTATCTCCATCATCCATCTAAGTGAGACAATACTCGTTTATTCGAGTAACGGTTGGTGAAAATCGACTGAGGATTCTTGCAATACTTTAATTGTATAAACTTTGTTTCTAATTTATTGATAGCAGTTCTTGAAAAGAAATTCGTACCTCAACCGCGTCTTCTTTGGTCGTTTCATGAACAAGATCGCTGGCAGATATTTAAGGAAGATCTTGCGTATGAGCTGAGGCATTCTGTGAGTCCTCGGCCCGCGGAAGTTCCAGTTGATGATGATCACAGTCACGAGGATACTAACGGTGTTCATGATGAAAGTGAAGAGCAGATATTTGGCTATCAATGGCAGCACCAGCGAGGTTGGCGGCAAAATTTTGCTGACTAGCAAGAGGAACACGACCAGTGACAGAAGAATACTAATGCCCAAAGTGACTTTCTCACCGGCCTCCGCCGGAAGGTAGAAAACGAGCACGCAGAGGAAAGAGATCAGAACCGTCGGCAGTATCAAGTTCACCGTGTAGAAAAGAGTCTTCCTGCAAAAGCAATACGAGTCTTTTTAGCTCAGTGGAGTCATTATGTAATTACAGTCTTGCGTTATAATCTTAAAACGTTAATTACAGACAAAAGACTCATTGCAGAAGCTGTGATAAATACCACTGGTGAGATTGGCAGTAATATACACACCTGCGGATAATTATATAGAAAGTGATGTCCGTCTCCGTGGGAAAATCACCTTGGTAGACATTGAGATACGCCGGCACGCTGATAATGTCCCATGTGCCGCTTTTCCAATAATCAGACAGATCGACGAAGTTCTTGTCGTTGTAGAGCGCGAGAGAGACCTGGTCGCCGTTGAACGTCCACGAGCCGAACTTCATGATGCATGTTTGCTGATCGAAGGGAAAATATGTTACATCGATCGTGCACGAACTCTGATAAATCGCTGGCGGCACCCAGAGCACCTCGCCGTTCGGGTAGATCAGCACGTTGCTCTTGTAACGGACTTCGTAGTTGCCATCAGCGCTGCAAGTATAAATATAATTATAATATGTGTGTAGTTGTTGAAAACGTAAGTGCAAATATTTATGTGGTTAATTAAAAGAACAGGAAAATTTCAACAGTTAATCGCCAAGACGTAGTTGACCAAAAAATCGAGAAGTAAACGATTGTTTTGTATTCGCTCGCAGTTAATTAAAATAAATTTGAAGTAACTGCAATTTTCAAGTAATCCATTTTAAATATGAATGTTATACACATATAATACACGTCTCAATTGTAATAAAAGCATATTCTGTTGGCGTAAAAAGTGACGCGAGCGATTGAACGATTCATACGTTTTGATTAGTTAATTCTTCCGGTTCAATAAAGTACGTAAATGACTTTTCTGATATTCATACTTATTGAATAAGACTATGTCTGGTTTCCACACTTTGTCGGGTGGTAATCTGAGGACACCGATGCCGCCGTAATCCGCTTCGTCCCATTGCAACTGATAGTCCATCCATACAAATCTCAGCCATACGTTCGATTTCATAATCTGATTCTTTTCATTCTGAAAAATGCAAAGAATTTTACGTGATTGAGAAAATACCACGTCCACGTTCGATCATGTAATTTAAACGTGTATTTTCCACCGTCGTCTGGACTGGATTCGCGCGAAAATGAAACGGAGCGTGGAAATCTCACCACATTGATCAGTTGCACGAAGGCGAGGCCAAACCTCACGTGCACCTTCTCCGTCATATTTTGCACTGGTCGGATGAGCTTATTGTATCCTCTGAACAGATCTCGCACCAGTCTCTCCTCATCCTCGGAGCACAGACCTGAAAGTAAGGCGATTAACGCGATTAGCGGTCGAATGTCCCGGTCGGCGGAGCCCGGAATCGCGTGAGATAAATCGCGAAGATAAAAAAAAAACTCGCACGCCGCCTCGTCTCGTCGTCGAACACTCCACTTTTCTCTCGGATGTCAAAAAATATTGGTTACTCCTACATCCGAGCGTTGCACATCTACGGCGCGCGAGTTTTTTCTTTCCGGCTCCATTTCGTCACTCGGGAAACGAGTCTTACCGACGCACAGAATCGCCGAGATCAGGAATAGTCGCACGAGACGCAGGCAAAAATACATTTTGGGCGGGTTCGTTGTGGGGTTGGTTGTGGTCCCACCCGAACGCTCGAACGCGCCGCGAGCACAGCCGCCACCACTGCCGTACCTCCACCGCCACCACTACGGATCAATATAGAAGCGCAGACGCTGGCGAATAATTGCATTTCCTTCCTTGCAACCCGACACACCGAACCCACCCTTGCCGAGCGGTTGCGAACCTCGTCATCTTACTACACTCTCACAATCCCCGAAGATCCATCGTCGAAGACGCCGCCGAAATTGCTGTGCGATCACTCAGCGGAAAGGGATTCCGCTAAGAGACGCGGAGAAATACCGCCGGGCGTAGCGAGATTTTCAACGCGTCAGAGTAGACTGAGCTACCCTCCAAGGGGTTGGCAGCTAGGGGTGGTTCGCCCTCCTCGCGACGGATGCGCTGCTTTACCGAGGGATTCTGGACAAGTCGCGGAGAATAGAGTTGCCTAGAGGGGTGTTGATAAATCCAACGTTTACCTTGCTGACAAAGTTTTCATAGAAAACGCGAATCCCTCATTTTCAGAAAAGTGATCTCAATGAAAACTTTTACCGGGGGAGAGAAAAAACCTAGGTTTCCAAATAATTTATTTGAAAAACAAAAAGTGGAAACTAAATGTCAATTAAACTCGTCTTTAATATATTTTATAATTGCCATCGCGTTAATAACGTGCGCTAATATGCATTTTAATATTGTTCTTATTAATTGCCAAATTTGTGCTAACGAAAATGCACGACTGATGCATCACTAATCTTACTCGTGAATAATTAATACATTAATACGTTAAACAATAATAAGCCTCTAATTAATTATAACATTAATACATTAATTAATGCGATAATTTATGTATTTTCTATATTATGGTAAGGATCTAATTTTACCTCGTAACAATCGTTGCACACGAGAATTTTGCGAAATCTCTTTTCGGATAATTGTCGAAATTTTCCCTGTGTTCTGCGTGTCGCGTATAAACCATCGGCTGCGTACTTTGGAACTTGTACAGGAGATGCTGCAGCCGTAATTATGGATTATCTCGTTTCATAACTTTTCGGTAACATATAGGCCGCGTTGCAGCAAAACAGCATATTACGCGCAAGTTTGAAATTATTTAGAAAATACGCATCCATTCGACAAAGTTGCCTTATCCCTCGTTATTACGTGCCAACGTGACTGCTCAACGTGATATCCGTCACATAATGAACGCGTTTAATTATTTGTTATAGTAAATTATAATATTATCAGTGTCTTCCGTAAGAAATTTGCAGGTCCTGAGTCACGGCTTTCGCGCGCGGAGTTTTCCAAATTGAATTTTAAATTTGTCGTCATTTACATTTCTATTAGCTCGTTACCCATGCATTACCTTTTCATGGAACGTGATAATCGGATGGCACCCGACGCAGAGGCCACAGTAGTGTCGTGATTTTAATAGCGATTAAAGAGATTTTGGGTAAACGTTTTTAAAATAATCTACCGATGCTTACTTACCGATGTTTCGTCGAGTTTACACAAAACTTTTATACGATCTATCTTTTTAAATTATTTCAAAAATGTATTTTTGTAATTAGAGGAAAGTCCCCTATTATGAGATAGGATCCTAATATGGGATAGCGGGGTCTCTGTTAAATTAATAGGCATCGTCAGTTGATTCCACCGTGAATTTATTGGAGCGAAATCTGTTTAGTGGAAAATTCATCGTTAGATTATATAATCGTAGCGAAAAAAGAATTGGGTGTTGAAAATCTGCTATCTCATATTAAAAAGCTATCTCGTAATAGAAGGACTTTCCTCCACTTGCGATATTTTTGCCTAGTTTGATTATTTATTTTGAGCAACGAACATTTTGCAAGCTACAATTAATCTTGGCGCGACAGTTTCCCCACGTGATAATTGCCCCTGTCCAATATTGGGTAAATATCTTTGCAAGTTACGCCAATACTAACAAACAATCGCCAGCTAAGTTTGACCATACGATTGTAACAATATGCTGTGGTAAACGTTGTTATTGGCACAACATTGGCAAGAAACACGAAACAAGGTTGATACGACATTGCCGTATTATTGAACCAAGCACTTCAAAGGCTGGTACTTTAAAGACATTGCTATTGCTGGTGTAATTAGTATTGTCCGACATTGGCTTGGATCAATGTTAAAGAAAGATACACTGCTTTTCTCACGTTTTTCTAAGGATATAAAATTACTCGCGTGTAGTTTCTTTGTGGTATACGTTAAAACATTATTGGTATTAATTATTTCTGGCACTATTCTGCGTTAATAGTTTGGATACACTGAAATGAACGTCTACAGACAAGATTTCCAGATTCTATTACACTTCGATTTAATAAAGTAGAACTGATATGGAGGGCCGCACGGCATAATACTTTCTCCTAAGAAGAAAACCGCACGCGGTATTATAAATTATATCACATACTTTTCACAATTCTTAGTTTTTTATTCTTAAAGTAAAATTTAAGTTTACCTCAAAGAAAAGTTTAAAGTGTCCAAATTTATTTTTCGTATTTCTTATTTTTCTCTTTCTAAAAAAAGAGATGTTACCAGCGCGAATGTCGTTAATATCGGACAGTTGAAGTATCTTTTCTGCGATGCCGATTAATTTTCTCGAAGCGCGGTGTGCTTCACTTCTCTTTTAGATTCATAGTAAATAAAGATTTACAATTTTTAGAAATATTTGTGTACACCAACTATTGAGATAAAATCTCTAATCTTAGTAATTAGAATTTACCTAACAACGATTTTTGTTTCGAAACATTTTCTCGATTGAACAGAATTAATCGTTAATTTAATCAATGCCAATAAGTCCGCAGAATGATAGGTACGCAAAACGTAGTAACAGTCACGGAACAAAGTAATGTAAAATATTAAGTACACAATTTTCAATTTCGTAGGCGGGACAACGAACTTACAACGGTTCTTTGTTGTTTTTCTCTCGGCGCGGTGACGTACGATGTTTTTGCGTGCCAGCGTGTACCTGAAGGTCGCCGCGGTATCACTCGCTCGCCGAACGTCGAGCCGGCAGGCAGCAGCGAGAGTCGGTCCGTGCGTCGTATTACTTTTGCGTTATCGGTTTCCGAAACTCGATCGCGCTGAATGCAGGGATAAAACTCTATTGATTTGCACACCTTTATTAGTAACAAGTAACGCTCTTCGATTAATTATTCAATTTTTACAACTTGTAATGAAAAACGAATTGCATGTTGAGGCGACGGCTCTTTATCAACGTATACATAGACATTTCACGAGACTAACTCATCTAAAACTTTGTATTTTGTCGGTACTTTGTCGCGGTTACATCGCGTTTACTCACCGCGCTTTTATTAATTATCTATCGATTTCGTGTAATCTGTTCCATTTTCGGGAAAAGAGAGAAATTTGTACTACTTCGGCGTTCGCGCTGTAATTCGCTCTGTCGTTCTTCGCAATTCAAACGGGCAGAAAGTAAAGAAAGTTGCTTATCGCACAGTGTTACATTATGTAAATGTAATCGAAAATTATCTCGATTAACTGTTGCAATTAATAACTATTTATCGCTGGAAACTTTGCTCACATAATTTATTTCGAGGATTACGAGTAGATTGAATGGCAAAGATTGTAAAATATCGTTTCGTTGCGGACTAATAACTACTTCTTTACCGCAGATTATGCTTCCGATGCTCGCGTTGCGTTTTATATCGTCAATTCAAAAGTGATTTATCCATTATCCTATTCTTCCGAATCAAATATGCAAGTTGTTAGATTGAGTAATTTGTATGACAGAAAGTCACGCGATATTTGTTAATAATACTTTGTGCATTTCGCGATATTTCACGTCGCGTACGCCGTACGGGAGTGTCGAAATTTCGCGATCGATCATTTTCGCGAGTGAGTGTTGTGTAAGTGCAACAAGGAAATCTGAGAGAGGAGGCATCGGGCAATGGCGGAAAAATCGTGAGGTTAGTGTCTTACATTTTGATGTTATTCGCTACTTGTGCAAAATAAAGCATCTGTTCTACGTTTTTATTTTATTTATTCAAATGGTTCGAACGAGAATTCGAATAAGTGTTAAAGACAAAACCATACGTACAAAATTTTGTGAGTTTATATTCAAAAGGGAGATTTTTTTCAGTATTCTATATAATGATTTTAATAAATACCTATTTCTAAAAATATAAAATACAAAGTATATTTAATACAATAATTTCGATTTTACATAACTACTCTATAATAATCATATACATATTTGTATTTTTGCAGTACAATACATATGTTAACGATGTACATACAACTCTGCTGTTGCGAATCATATCAGTGAGTAATAAATTACTTTTTATTTTAAATTGACGTTGCACATATAATTACTTGTTTGCATGTATACAAATTCTTAACACTATACAATGCTCAATTACAAATTGCGCGCGCAAAGCGCGCGTTTTGTCATTTCTAAGTCTAAAGTAAAATTATCAGGGTTTCTAAGGTGAATTTTCCCAAGGGTGGTAGTAAAAGGTCCTGATTATTAAGCCAACAGCACACGGTACTATTTTTCCTACTTGATTGCTTACGAGAGCCAATCAAGGTGCAGAGTTTTAGATCAGGTGACTTAAAGCTAAACCCTGATTGGCTCTCGTAGGCAATCCAGTAGGAAAAATAGTATCGTGTACCGTTGGCTTTAGATAGCGGTGGATATTGTTGTTTGTCTGCGTCTGATCATCGCTACTGACACAATGAACCAATGTCGAACAATGCAAGTAGAATCCCGATGGGTTTTTTATATCGCGGAGGATAAAGTTTCATATCGAGTAATTTGGTATCGGCGACTGCAGACGAGTTTAACGGCGTCGTACGAATCACGTCAGGAGCAATCAACGGCGGCTCAGTTGACCAGAAACAATAACTCCGGAAACTCCAAATAGACGGATCGGGTAATAACGGCGCGCTCAGTAAAATAACGGCGAGAGCGAAATCCGCGGTGTATCGCACCTCACACAGGAAACAAAGCCGCCGGTCCGTCTGCATGCATTGGGCCGCATGCATGCGCGTTGGTCCACCGCAAAGCTACACGCGCCCATACAACTGTGTATATGTATGCATCGGTACGCGTTATTGTTTGATCAAGCGACGCCGACGCTCGCGTGCAACTGCATCGAAGTAGACCATGTATGACGAAGCATACAACTTGGCCCGCACTCACTGTACTGCAACGAAACTGCACGCAGCGTCCGCTTTTTCAGGAAAATATTTGCAGTCGCGGGCGCGGTTCGCTTTCTCGTGCACGCGTTCGTCGCGCCGAGAACTCTTCAAAGACTAACTATTTGCGTTCAAAACGTGGAGCAACAAATTTCGAAA